GTATAAACATTGCATGACTTAGTATACACAACAGTCCATGAAAGGGCGAGTAATAAACGTGTTTGGCCTGTTTCATGCTGTACGTACCATAAAACTCACCTAGGAAAGTTGTCCATATCTGCTGGTAGATCATGTAAGAATCTCTGTGATACTTCACTTTGATGCCTACACGGTATGTGTTACGTATCCATCGAAGCACGTTTTCATCAGCCTTCAGTTCAGAGGCTCTCCTCAGCTATGCTACAACCACCACCCAAGGAATGTATGAAAGAACATTATTGTTGAAAAGATATTTTCAAGTTTGCATTTTTCAAAGAATTCTATCAATCATAAATACATGCACTTGTTTCAGTAGGGCTTTTCAAACACTGAAATTATGGAATAAACACATGAATTCGAAACCATGTTTTTCTTTTGTCTATTATAAGCCGTATAATTGTTCAAATTTTTTCAAATACTTGTTCAGAGTTCACATTTCATGATGGCAGTAAATCTCCCTCAATTTATCTAGGTCTTTACACTTTAGAAAGAATGCTGCATCATGATTCCATTTTTTTACATAATATTGATGATGGGTTCGATTATAAAGTACATATATGTGCACAAACCTCGATCACTTGACTCAGTACACATGAATGGATCCCGTCCTTTATCTTGCCTTTCCAAATTAAGCAAGTTCTTTCTTGCCACACATGTTACGAAGTGGAAGCAAGACATGACTGGATCAGGATGGGATGGCACCAAACAAGGGTCATTCATCTAGGCAGAAATTAAACAAAGAAATAATTATGGGAAACTGACTAGGTGTTTTTGAATGACTATAACGATGAACAAAGAAATTGACCGCAGTGGGATTTGAACCTGCGGCAGCTATCCAGCCCTATGTTGGTGGCTCTTCCCATTTGTCAATATCTCTGTTCGGGGGGCGCTAGCCAGAAGCCATTACACCTGAAACACCATGTAGCCAGGGATCACACCCCAATTACACGATACAACTCGGGAAGAGGTGAACAGGGATCACACAAAGAGGATACGGCTGTTTGAAAATAAATCATGAAACAAGTCCTACAGAAGTAACAGATAAACACAGGAAATTCAAATGAAATCTGGGCAAGATTTGTACGTAAAAACAGGAAAGAAAATGTATTCAGTATATTGGCAATATCGGGATGCACATAAGTGGGCATTCTGTAACCGTAGACATGACTACGGTTACAGAATTGTCCTTGAACAACTTATCCGAGGCATGTCTGATAAGAATAACTTGGTATGGTGTAAGTTGGTATACTTTATGTGTGCTTGGTCGTGTTGGTAGGCGTGGTAGGCTAAAGTAATGTCAAATTTTACAGCAAAATCATTCAGGCGTTGAGCCTTGAAAGACATCCAGACATGCGCACATACCTCTTTCCGTGCTCCCTGTGTCATCCGCACTTCCTAGTTGTACCTCTTGCTCGCACTTGACTCTTGTCTTATGAATTTCGTGGTGTTGAGTGAACCTGCATTTTGTCGCAACACAGCGCTCCTTACTGTCACAGTCCGAAATTTCCCGCCACTTCTCAACAGACGATTACAGGATTTTAACATTTTTTCACATTCAGGGACACTAACTCGGATTTTCTTCCTCAGACACGCTCTCCAATTTTTGACAAGCCACGACAGCATGTGCATGTGAACAACACCGCTCTTGTTCTTCAGATCTCTAACTAGCACGTATATTCGATCCCCATAGTACGGAAGCGTATATAGGACATGACTGAAAAAAAAATTGGGCCTGCTATTTCACCCGGGCGGATTGGTATTTCGCCCGGGCGAAATAGTAATCCGCCCCGGGCGAAATATAAGGCAGAAAATCTTCTTTCATTCATGTCCGATATACACCCCCGAAGTAACCATAGTAAGCCGAACGCAAGACCGTTAGCACGTGCCCTTCCTTTCTTGTTAAGTGTCCAAGAATTAAGTCGGACCAACGCTCACTCCAAAGAATACATGAGCCAACACAAAGCACCGAGTACAGCCCTTTGTCTGAAAGATTATCCCCATTACCCGGTGAAATGACGTACTGTCCATTGTCTAGGGATTACCTGAGATCGACGTTCACTTCCGGAGTGCTCGTCAGTATTTTTCCGTGATATCGCGCATTATGAGTCGTCTATTTTAAGCATCATATTTCATTCCGTTGTACATTTTTTTCCTTTCAATAGATCAACCTTTACCCTACTCTTCTCTCATATTCATGTTTATCCACACAAAAGTCATATTGTGCCATAATTTTTACCCTTCCCTTGTTCCTATTCATCCCTTACAGAAGGTTAACCTGTGTCATAATATTTACCGAAACGTCTTCTATAATCATATTCCTACTCATCCCTTAGAAAAGGTCAACTTGTTCAAGACTTTCTGACCGTTTCCTCGTTCCTATATTCATCCCTAGGTCAACCTGTACCTTCACCCTACACCTCATTCCTCTTCTTAGATATATGATATTATTATCATTCTTATGCATATTCATGTGACCATTTCCTATTTCTGTAGCAAAGGTCAAAGTGTACCAGACAGTGCCCCCCACTACTGACGTGGCCTGCTGTATGCCGCTGTTAAGAGTTAATCTTGCGCGCGTGCGCACGCACACTTTGGTAATGAGCGCCATGAACACACGTGCAAAAGTGGTTCCAAAGTCACGCTCTGTGAAAGTCCAGAGGGTCATTTCCACACCAATAAGATCCAGAAAACGACTTGTATGGGAATCCATGTAACCAGATCAAGCCAGAGTCGTATCCTCACGGTTAATTAAGAGCCGGAAATCAATTTGTATGGGAATCCATGTAACTTTTCCTCCTCCGTCGATATAGTGTCAAAGTGTAACCGTTTATGAAATGGTTCCCTTACATTGATTGACCTGGGTTTCTTGCTGTGCATAGGTAATCTTTATACTTTGGATTCAAGGTTTAATCGCCGATGAAACAAAGTAATCCGTTTACTGGTTTTGTTAAACTTAATGTTTTAACTTCAGATTAAACTTAATTCCATTGGATGTAAAAAGATTTTAAATGTAAAACCTTTTGTGAGTGTACCTCTTAACTCCCGTATTATGAAATCCACTAAAAGGTAATCGAAACATATTTGTGTTTTGTGATTATTTAAGACAATGTGATGTTTTCATGGTAGACGATTTTGTTCATTTTCATACGCACGTATTAAATCACCAAAAGATGGTAATAATTGAATCATACACTAATCTCTGTGTCGTACTTATTTCTCTCTACTACATTGTCCTTTTTTTAAACAATTCATCGTCCCTTCTAGTCATTTTTACAATTATATAAACTGTAAGGTAATTAAGATGACGGGCATCCCTTTTTAACTTTTTTGTTTTGGAATACAAATCTGATTACAAATAAATTCGTGAGCATAAATAGGAAACATCGACATCATAAAGGGTCTCTATAAATACATGGACGGCTGAATGATTCATCAGTTTGTCTTTAGCGGAACATCGATACGATTTTTTTCGTTCTAATACTCCTACATCGGTGAAGACAATAGAATATGCAATACTGGCCACATACGGCTGTATTGTAGACTCAAGGCAAACCTTTTTGTGCGTCCAGTAGTTGGCATTGTCTGTTAAAAGCTTGTCCCGTAGACGCGAGGATCTTCCCCGTCAGAATAGAGAGATCCCAATACGATGCTTTTAGCGTCGATTTGCGCACTTCCGCGTTTGAAAACGAGGCTGTATGTGTCAGCTTCAATTCTTAATACGATCAGACGATTGAAAGTAAGGAGTTTAGACACAAAATACATACAGATATGTTAAATTCAGACTTTTCAGGCTGCAAATTTTTGAGGAAGAGTCTTTCAGGATGACTCGACTCGTACAATCAAAAGAGAAATAACGACACTTGACCGCGAACTAACGTACCTGCGATGGCCGTGTATCTTGTGCAGTGGACGTGGTTTAACCTGGAGGGGCGTCATACTTACGAACCGGATATTCCATGTATTGAGTGGACTCCGCGGGCGGGCGCGACGAAGTTCAACACAGAGAGCCTCTCTCCGACTGATTGCGTTGAGGAATGGACAATGTTTTCACGGCCACACGACGAATTGTATACCTGGCTGTGGTGCTTTCCAAAGTTTTGGCATGCAACAAGGTCACTGACGGACCGACTGTCACCTTGCGAATATACAGGGCTGCATCAATTTATTTCTACCTTGTATTCGTTCGCATGGTTAGCACTTGAAAGGCAAAAAGCGTTCTTCCTTCAGTGAAACTTCAATTTCACGTTAACGCCATTTTATCAATAATCTCTCCTGAATCTCTCCACGTCAACCACTTGGCTTTCTTTATCCTAATGTTTTCTCTCTCGGACTCTTGGCATCTCGTCATTGATGGCATTTATAACTTACTGAATGGAGTTGCAGAACCCTGGTACAATCTTCCAAGAATAGGCTTCTCTACCGTTTTCACTATAAGTCAAACCACTCTTGTGATGTCACCCTAGTATTCAGTAAAGTGTTGAGTATTCTTCTTAAAAAGAATGTACAATTTGGACATTCGTCAAAAACTGATAGATCAAACTTGACTTGATACAGACACAGAAAAGCACGTGACGTTAAATTACAACGTCAAACACGGTGAGAATCACTCTCGACAATAGATTGCTTTACACGTCTAATGCGGTTAACACTCAAATTTTTAGATTTGCTGCGGTGACATTTTCTGTTGAGATTAGCGATTTTTACATATCCTTTCCATTTTAGTATTATTTCATTTTTTTTTCATTTTAATTGCGATTCGTATTCTAATGGTTACGTACAATATTTCTTATCTTTATCATTTTTCTTTGCGTATTTATTTTAAAATTCACATTTAGCCACTTAACTTTCGGTTAAACGTCAGTTTTAACTCTTCCTCTGTTCATAAACAATTTTTAGAAACAACTTCAGCAATCATAATTCATTTACAAATTTGCAAAACAATTAATTGTTTAGAAACTTACGTATGATACTTTCCAGATGAGTGAGGTGATATTCCAAACGCATGTAATTTCCAAACAAAAGAATTTCCTTCAGTGACGGAGGGATTTCAAAGAGCAAGCGTGTACTTCCAAGGTTGTAAACGTAATCTTCATTTGAAGAGACAGTCAACTGTAGTTCTCACATCAGTCACTCGAGAAACCTGTTCGTTGGTGGTGTAAAGGGTTCACAGCTCCGTACAGTCATAGCGATAGTCTTTGCTAACTTAAATTTAGCATATTTCAGCAACTAAATCCATTGGGACCGTATTGACAGCGTGTGTGCAGTACGATACACTGATGGTGTCGACTGCATGTCTCTGTGTGACTTTGTGTAAAGCAGGTACTATGCCTATGAATGAAAAAATAGTTGTGCACCCAGCCGAGGAGTTACTCAACTGCTTGGGACAGGAATGAAGCTTTTATGTACATGCAAATATACATAGCCAGCCAACGCTGGACAAATGATGGAATTCATCTCACGGCTCTCAAAGCATCAGTAAAACCTTTTTGTTCTTTTGTACAATACGGGCAGTAATAGTGGAGGGGGCGTGGTTTAAGTCAGAAAACACTCAAAAGGTGGAGATTCTTTGATTCAAATGGGCTCAGACGCTTCGCATCCCTACCCATTCGAATCAAAGAATCTCCACATTTCCCTCGTTTCTCCTTATTCGAATTGATTGTTATCCTCCGTTATGCTGCATCGCGAAAACGGATAGTGAATTTCTGCCAAAGCGACCTCCCATTCTCCAGTAAGTTGAATTGGATTCGCCAATCTCGCGTTGTAGCTTGATAGCGTGTTGTTTACATAGACCAATCGAAGCGTTGGACAGTAACGTAACAAAGACTTGTGTGGTTGTCATTGTCTTTACCCTGTCAAGTCAGAGACCCAACTGTTAAATTTGGAGGGATATAACCCGACCATTTAACAAAGTTCTTTCGAAGCATTCGTCTTTCTCATGCGCAATACTTTTTCCACTCTGAGTACACGTCATCTTTTTTATGTACCTTCTGTAATTCCTGTTCGTAAATGATCCCATAATTTCCTCATCGGAATAACCTTTTGGGTTGCCGTTGGTTGCCCGTCCGTCTTACAATCGTGAATATTTCCCGAGACCAGGCAGGGAGGTATGATTTCTCAAAGACCATGCGCTGTTTACTGATTCTGTCTCCAACCTTAACTTTAAATTAGGCCTACACTGCAGACGCTCCATTGGAATATAAATTTTTCCACACGATACTCTCATTCCTAGCATCTACTTCAACAGGTTTCGATGATACGAATGATTGTAACCTTTTACAAGTTGTTGCAGAACGGAAATGTATTTGAAGGTACGCAACGTGAAATACTTCCACATTCTTCCTTTTAATGTCCGATTAAATCATTCCACGATCGATGCCTTCACTTCACTATTTGTCAAGTAGAATCGGATGCCATTCTTCTTTTGAATAGTTTTGGAGATTGCGGTTGACAGATTCACTACTTTTATCCGTATAGATAAAGATGGGTCGCCTTTCGGTAGACTAAGAAATATCTTGATAGGTGGTTACCATAACCTCACCCGTCTCATTTTTTAACGGTCGCACCCATGCGTACTTGGAGAAGACGTTGATGCAAGTCAGTAAGTACTTACATCCATTATTGTATCGTGCAAAAAAGCTGGCTGCGTTCGAGCGAGTTACTCGTGTTAACACGAGTACACTCTTTATTCAGTCAAAAATTGTTGGCAAGTAAAAACAGTTTTAATTCTTACGGTACAAATTTACTTTTTGACACGTGTTTGCGCTAAATAATTTTACAAACACTTTTTATTCTTAAAACATAAAAGTTTTCCTGACGTTTTTCACCTTTAAAAATGTTTGAGCATTATTTTTTTTCAAAGAATTATTTCAACTTTAAGAAAATATGGCGCAATTTTTACTTTACAATCAAATTTATAGTTATAATTTTTTTCAACATATATTTGTTCATAAAGGTTTTCTTAATTGTCTGTCAACTTCAAAACTTTTTCAACAAAATCTTTCTAGTTTTTTGACTCACAAAAAATATTAATTCAAACATAAAAACTTATACAATTAAATATTTGCAACTGAAAAACTAAAATTACATTTTACTCTTAAAATATTTTTCTTTTTAAAAATGCATGTAACAATTCTTTTGTTGTCATAAAATATTTCTAACATTGTAGACCAAGAAACGTCTCTGTTAAAAAGTTGCTTTGTTTGCTTTGTTAAAATCAGGTATATCACTTTTATCAAAACAAACTGCAACACCCTTTTTTGCATCATATACAGAAAAATTTTACACTTTAGGTTTCATTAAAATTATTAAATACAAATTGTAATATTCAAAATAATTTGTACTGTTAGTTTGTTTCATACAAATAAAACAACCAATTTAAAGATCTTCACTTAAACAGTTCAAAGTTTTAACAAACTTTTATGATATGAGTGGTAAAAACAAACCGTCCATAAAGCACCTACTCAACAAGGCGTTTGCATCTGTTTTTAAGATCATCTAGACGTTTTGAAAGTCTCGATAAATGTGCCTTTGTTCGTTCAAACTCATCATCCTTAGTGAATCAGATTGATTTACTGCATTTAAAAACAAAAAGGAGTATTCGTTTCTTTCTTTGCCATTGATCAAATCATTAACGGCATCATCAAAATACATGTCTACGTGCTCACACCTTTCTAACATCATAGACAACTGCGGATACTATCTGAGTTGCAGAAAGTAGCATAAAGATAGAAATACACTTGTCTTCTAAACATGCGTGTTTCTTCTTTTGCCTCGTTGACTTCCTGTTTCTCTTTAGCTCCTTGCTTCTCTGCGTCATCTTGTTTCCCCTTCCCCTCTAAAACAATCATCAGTTCAATCAGTTCAGCTGTGAAAGATCAAAAGAAACCACATGAATACATGTATCACACAACGCAGTGGGATAAACATCACGCAATTTCTTCTCGGGATTTGAAAATGGTATTGTAACAATACTGACGGTCTGTATAAGGGACTATATCATCGGCATCGGAAGGTGAGCCTAAATCAGATTCGGTGTCTTGGCTTGTCTCTGGTGCAACTGGGTTTTCTTCCGTCTTGCTTGCACGCTGTCTCTCCGCCTCCGGTGTGGCTCTCTAGATGACTGGAACAGACTTCACCAAGGCTCTCCGTTCTTCTACCGAAAGGTTGATGCCTCGTGCACCGGCCACCCAAGCAAAGTGTTTGCCCTTCCTCTGCATGTATTCTCTAATTTTGATATACACGTGATCTTTAAAACCCTACTACGACATGGCGATTGTCTCTGAAGGGAAAGCGCCAGAATGTCGTACTTTTGGGCACCAGGCGACGCAGCGATCTACCACATGCTGGCGCTACACTCTTGGTCTCCATACGTTTCTGTAGTTTCTGCATTCGGTCATCACAGTCTGCACGGTAAAACGGAGGTCTGGATTCACCAATCTTCCGATGGGTGCCAGCAGTATCAAATGAACCAGCCATTGATTCCATCTTCAGGCAGTGTAGTAATTCTTGGTCGTCAGTTGATGTACTCAGGATGAGTACGAAGACAGAATGACAACTCCACCTCCGGGTACCCCTTATAACTTACATGCACTACAGTCTCATCTTACCTATCTAATCAGATCACATTAGTTTATCTGATCAACGTTCGTCCAATCCCTCTCCAGAAACTATGCAACACCGTTTATCTTTGTTCATTCAGCTCGCTAGGATTTCAGGGCAACATCACCAAACTTTATCTCTCCTTTCGAGCAATTACAGCGTGTCACAACGTTACTTAATCTTCTCTTCCTTCCACCAATCACCACGCCAGATTTTCAGGGCTCATCCCCGCTCTTATCTCCCACCGCCCCCACAACCTTATCTTGTTATACTCCTTATCTCCTTACATCACCACCTAATCCCTCTTCATCCTCTCACCCACACTCTTATCATCCTAACCCATCTCCCAATCTCTTATCTGCCATTATTGCCCCAAATTGTCATTGGTATTACGTCATTTTTGTCTGTTGTGCCGGATAAAGACCCCCTTTCCTACTCACGGTGGGGTCCATAATGTTCAGGGAAGGTCAGGCTCATAAAAACAAAACACGATAAGAAGACAATGAAAACTTTTCATACGTCATGCCACGCTATTTTCAATTTGAGAAAACAGAAAAGTGTGCAGTGGAAATGAGCATTAGGTCCCGTAGCATGCTGCAACTCTAGGACGTTTTATACAAAATTATAATGTCAAATTAACATCATTCAAGTTTCGACAACCGTGGGAGTATAACCTGGCCTTGAAAAACTTGCTTTCAGCTCTAACGTCTGGAAACTCGGCCTCCTAATGTTGTTTAGACTTTCCGTTTTGTCATGTCTTGTTTCATTCATTTTGCACGTACATTCTTTGCATTCGCCACTAATGGTGGGACCAACCTACGGCACTGATGCAGACGGATGTCACAGTACCCTAGGCTGGACACGAACCCCGATGGTGCCGAGTGTTCTCGTCAAATTAAAGGCTCGACTTCACCAAATGTTCACATGACCAAAACTGCAGGAATTCCTCCAGTTTCTGAAAGCAGGCAAATTTTCCGAACTCGTCCTGTCCACATTCGGATAGTATCTTTGATGTTCGGGTAGTTCCGGCCGTGCCTGTTCACGCATATTGTTTTTGCTTGTTGCCCACATGCAACACAACGTTGCTCCTTTCCTTTGCATTTGTTCTGAGTTTAGTGCATGTTTTCAGAGTGATCGCTAGTATTAACAGTCTGCATGCACATCTAAACACAGGATCCACCGAGGGATAAGTTCGAACAGTGACAAATGTCAACCAATGGTCGATTTTGACTGGTAACATATGCGTGAAACATATATTGGGCACCAGGCAAAATCGATCAATGGTCAACAAATTAATTGTCGCTGCTCAAACGTGCCCCTGCGCTTTCCTTGTGAACCTTGACATGTTGCGTCATGATCTATTTTTATTCGTGGGTGATATCAGACGTAAGATTTTATCAAGAGTCATCAGGGAAACAGACTAACAATGCCCCAGGTAAGTTCCTTAGCGAGGTCAAAGAGTACAGCGTCACTGGTTATTAAAGCGTGAAGTCTAGGGAATGGGCATCAATTACAATGAAGCTCATCGGAGTCGATCCACAATCTCCAGCATCTCCAATCCCGACATTCTGTATGCTTGATGTTGACATCCCTATCAATAAATGGACGAGTCTGTTCTGAAGCTTGAGCTACTGTTGGCGCTCTACATGGAAATATATGAATCATGCAATTCAGCTGCTGCATGTATGAATATCTATCGTGAAACAGGTTGATCAAGTTGCTCGGCGGGCACAGGGGTCGCGGGCCGACGCGACGTGCGCCGAAACCCGGTACTGAACAGCCCACGAGCAAGGGCAGAATCGGTGTGGCATGCTGGATGGATCGTGGGGCACAGTGAACGGGCTCGCCCCCACTAATACGGGCGATTCACAATAGTGCGCCCCCAAAAGTTGTCAACACGTTGGCCAATCACAACGCGCAACGTCTGTTGACCCTCTCCAAACGCGCACTGGGTCGACACTGTAATTGGCCAACGCGTTGCGAACTTTTGGAGGCGCGCTATTGTGAAACGCCCATATTGTAAAATGACGCAGCTTATGGACAGCAAACATGGCCGACTAAGTACTTGATTTCCGTGGTTGCGGCAATCCAGATCTTGGAAACTATAACTCATGTCGAAGATTTAACTTGTCTAAATGAAAGATGGTAGCTGTTACATTGCAGATACGTGGAGGTGCCAAAGTCCCAAGCGTGATGTTCCTGCAGAGGCACAACTATGTGACATTTTCGCGTGTTACAGCAATGGCAACTACGACGTCAGTTACACAATTTTTGGTTAGAATCACTGCACTTCGGAGGTGATTTTCTATCTCCTCGTTAATATAATCTCTGATTTATTTCTGAACTGATTGGAATCACAATATCATAACTACAGCCATCTTGAATCATATCCCATCATGCTCTATCTTCCCATGATTCACAACCAACCGATTGTTGATACATGTAATGCATATAAAGTGCTGTACATGAGTATGCCGTGTAACGTCCCATTACAGCGTGCCTGTTCTTGATCGGTAGAAGTGTTGTTTACGGAGCAGTGCACACTACTGGGACGTTCCTTTCACAGTTTGATGATGTATGCTGAGAATTTGTCGTGGAAAAGCTTTATCTAAAACATGCTGTAATACCAAAGTATTATATAAAAAACCCTCCTCCCTCCTCGTTTTTACAAATACAACTGGAATCCTTCCAAAAATTATAAAATTTGATGTCATGGCCCCCTTGTAAAGTCCCTGTTCGCTCCGAACGGAACAAAAGAGGGCGTGTTTTCTTTAGTACTCTTCGCATAGGGTTCCACTACACCAAATAGGCGCCCATAGAAAACAGTGCCACATCGGACCGAAATAGCGCCGCCTGTTGACTCTTGTGAAGAGATTTGCCTCCGTTTTTCATTGGAAATTCAAGATTATGGCCAGCAGATCAATTTTCGTTGAAATTTTTGGGGGGTTAACCACTCAAATTCTTTTTTATTCGCCTTTTCCCCGAAGATACCCCTAAAATAGCAATAAGACTTTGCGCTCAGCTCTGAATGTAGCCGCCCGCCTCTGTCCAAAATAGGTCCGCAATTTGGGGCTTTTTGTGGAAGAAATACCCCGAACTGGAAACTATCAGTCCCAAATTCGGGATTCATGAAAATATTTCTATGACAAAGCAATAACTCCTGATCCTAGGACATAAAATTTTTTTTACATTAGATATGTGACAGATTTTCTATTGTAAAATGTCTGGATTCACGCGATATTGGCGCGAAAATTTGGTTCAAATTCAAATTTATTTTACCCAATTATTTTATCCGACGGATTCCCGATCGAGTGAGACAGTCTTCTACTTTATATGTATCTAGTTTTTATGGCCAGGAAAACTCATTTTTAATAGATATTGATCAAATGTGGCAACACTCAATTTTTTCTAGAGAAAAATAAAATAATTTGGGGTTTATTAAAAATCAAATGTTACATAACCGTTTCTGATGCAGCGCACAAAATCAATGCTATACTGAAAAATGAAATGATTAATGTTATTTGGATTTGTCATGAAAAATTTAATTACTTATGCTCAGTTTATGAAAATCCTTTAACAAAGACGACGCCTCATTTTGCAATCAGAGCCCGCGAAATCAGACATAGCCTGTTGCTGTGCTGTTGTTAAGTGCAAATCTTGCGCACGCGCACTTTGGTTATGAGCGTCATGAACATACATTTGTAAGTGATCCACAACGCTTGAACAACGTGCAACCAATCATAGCTTTCCATGCGTTTTCACGTGCATGCACTAGGCTCTCCACCCTCTGACATTGCAATCAGACATATCAGAGCAACAGACTAGCCCAATCAAAATACCTATACCCAGCAAGAAATGAGACCGAGGGGTACCCCCCCAACATGTCCAATCCCTATACACATTCCAGACTATTGTTATTTAACGCGTCTCCCCAAGATGTCTGAAAGGAATTCCCGAGATTCCTGCGAGACAATGACCAACACAAAGTAGGGGGGTTTCTCTCCGTCTCATACCTTGCTGCATATGAAAATACCGGTAACTATCCAAACTATCCTACCAGTGTAACGTTTGGGCCATACCCACTGAAAACTAACACTATAAGACCCGTGCCGGGATAGCTCCACAAAATCTCAACACCACACAATAGCCTCACCACATTACATGATTCACACGGGCTATGCAAAGGGATGGCTCACACGTAATTAATGCATTGGCTATGCGAATAATGCCTGGAATACACAACGGGAACACCGCATAAAGGTTTTACGAGAAGACCCAGGGATTGAGAACTTCACAGAAGAGATTGACTACATCACATGAGAGACTGACAACATCACACGACGGATTGCGATGCAGGTTTTACAATGAATTGCACAAAACTGTGGACTCAGTACAGCGCATTTCTGAATGAACGACACACGCGGGATAATCTGTAGAACAAAAATGAACAGGTGCTTTCCACCTCCCCTGGCGCTCCAAAGGTGTAGTTTTCCCTTAATAGCTATCAAAACACTAGATAATTATACACGTGCTACCACATACTAAATGAGAATACAACAATTTGAGGTACACTGAGAACCAAAATGAAGGTGGTATTTCTGCAAACTCTGGCCACCTTTACAAGTTGTAGGCAAAAATGAGGGTGTTCTATTCATGTCGACTTTCCCCAGCGAGTTATGTTTTCCCTGGAAATTCTAACCTGGTCTGGATGACATGACGAAAATAACATACAGCTGGTAAACGCACTTCACAAATAACACGAAAAACCTCATACACACACAACCAGATGTTATACAACTGTCTCACGAAGGCATGCGTGAAATACGTGATCGGCAAGTTACACCCGCATGCCTAATCAAAAAGCTTGATTCAGCCCCCCCCCACACACACACACCTTGGCTCACGCGACGTGAGGAGCAAACTAAACTGACTGGATTACGCTAAAATGTTAACAACACTGCCACGTGCAGACCGCCTTGGCCACGGTGATCCGTACGTGGGAACGCTGCATGCTTGACTAGTTTCTCTTGAATATTATGGTGTTGCGAAGACGACACGTCTCGCTCGTCGCCGTCGCATTTTTCTAATTCACTTGTGCACAAATACTTCCGTCGCGAACAACTGGGTTTCATGAGGGCGCCCCATATTGTGAGCTCTTCTCCATCTTTTTATTCCTCCATGGTGTATATCGCAAATGAGTGGGCCGGGAATTATAAGCAGTGCACGCTGTACCGGGGGGGGGGCATTGCCTGAAAAACAATCGTTGGGTAATAAGCCTTTTGGGAGTTAATTTTGACCCAAATCTGTATACACTGAGCCCTTTAAATTCACGTGAACATAATAACTTGACTTATCCTCACTAAAACCACTGTTGCTATACCTCGTGATTCGGGGCAAGCTTTTGCTTAGTTACATAAGAGACGCCTTGCAACAATACACTGTTCTCAATGGATAAGAAGGGCACAAAGGAACCATTCCATACCAGAGATGGTGGTCGCTACATATGCAGCAAGGTATGAGACGGAGAGAATCCCCCTGCTTTGTGTTGGCCATTGTCTCGCAGGAATCTGGGGAATTCCTTTCAGACATCTTGGGGGATGTGTCAAGTAACAATAGTCTGGAATGTGTATAGGGATTGGACATGTTGGGGGGGTACCCCTCGGTCTCATTTCTTGCTGGGTATAGGTCGCTATGCGAAAGCTTGCCACGAATCACAAGGTATAGCAATAGTGTCTTTAGTCTGGGGAATTCAAATCGTCATGTTTATGTGCAGTCAGATAACTCAGTGCACAAGATTTTATTCAAATTTAACTCGCAAATGGCTTATTTCAGTCACATCCTTATACGTTTCTTATAAGTACGCTCAGCCCGTAAATTGCACATAAACCAAACAAGTTGAATTCCCCCAGACTATATAAGGACACTGTCGCTATATCTCGTGATTCCGGGCAAGCTTTTGCATAGCGACTGCCATCTCTGGGATATTGCCCTTCTTATCCATTGAAACAGTGTATATTGCGCAAGGCGTCTCTTGTGTAACTAAGCAAAAGCCGGGCACGAATCATGTGGTATAGCAGTAGTGTCTTTCGTATAAAAAATTCAAATTGTTATGTTCCCGTGAATTTGAAAAACTTAGAGTACCAGATTTTATTTAAATTTAACTTAAAGGGTTTATTTGCACCAGCTAACGGATGTGGCATTTTTAAAATTGGGAAACATATATTTTCCAACAATGGTCAGCTGACCATCGTTAAAAAAAAAAGAATGTCTTCTCGATGCGAACGTTCTTGGCGAAAAAAAAAAGCTCAGGTCACCCGAGACTGTTATGTTCTTTCTCTCACGTAAGATATTCAAGTCTTATTCGGCAGTTCCTTTTATGATTTTACCGATAGTATATCCTACCTTTAACGCAACGTACCATGTTTCATAACATTAAAAAATTTAAAAAGTGAAACATGCGGAGTAAGACGGAAAGTAGAGGTGAAGGTTCAACAGTAACTCAGTAAACACCTGCCCAGATTATTTACGGAAACCGATCAGGGGCACGTTCGTTATATATAAAACCCGATGAAGTCTTCTTCCTACGAGATTCGTCTTACGGCAACTCTGACCAGCTACTCGCTCCGGGCCTTCCAGTTGCATTTACTAAGTGCGCGGTCAGTGCAGACGCTTGCGTACACATCTGTTCTCAATTTCCGATTGACTGGTCACAACCATGACAAATTTCCTTGGTCTGCTGATCCTCTTTGCTGTGGTGATGAGTGCAAAAGGTTTGTTTAATCTGTTTTTCTTTTATCTATTTATTTTGATTTTTTATTCTTTCGTTGCAGGGTGCAAACATCCAGTGAAATAATTTCTGGCCCTTTTTTTAAAGATTGATTTTTAAGGCCGGTTCGTCCTTCAGGCGAATGCGGAAGCGAATTAAACGTTATTAGCAATGTGCTGTGAAATTCGTCCAAGTTGAAATATGTGTTCAACGTTGACGAATTCGCAGGACAAACATTTCATTCAACGCCACAAAGTCGCGTTCGTGTTCGTTTTTGCACTGCATGGCGCTGGTTGTACACGTGATTCGAACAGTAAAAGATGCTTTTGGCGTACAAATTCTTCTCTGCTTCTGCAATCAAAACTACAACGGCTAGTAATTTGTCCAGTGCTTTCTTTTAACATCGTTCCCGAAAAGCAGCTGCGTTGTAATGTTGCGGCGACGACCAGTTTACACATCTATGTGACAACATTTACAGCGTGAATATTTAACGATCTTGTTTCTTTCTCCACCAAAAGCTTATCATCGTGGTGAAGCAGATCAGCCAGAATGGACCCAGCATCAGACATCTCCTCGTGTCAACCTTACCGGAGTGTTCAAAGTGCTAGGTACGTTTCCACCATTCTACTGCACTTGGAGAAAAGTGAAATGGCATATTGGCTATAGTAACGAGTAGTGGTGTAGGTGCGGGGGAGGGGGGACACGCCCCTCAGCTGAAGTCTGTGCCCCTTTACCTCCCCCCTCCATTAATAATGTTGAAATGGGAGCAACGTATACACGAGCCAAAGCTGTTAGTTTGTGTTGCTCGAGAAAGTTATCCCATTTTTCGCTACTGTTGACAAGTTGAATGTAGAAAACACCGTTATTTCCGCTGTAACAACACTGCTGGTGATATGGTGGACACTATCTCCCTTCGCTGCCCTGAAGCCGCGCCAATCTCACTGTTACGGCGCCGCCTTACTGGTGAAGCAATAACGTAGTTCTTGGAACAAACTGTTAGGTTGTAATAGTCCCATAGTAAGCTCAGTTGGTGCCTGTACGACAGGAGTGGAAACTCACAGTAAGTGGAAACTATATCACCGAGTATACGACATGCATTTATTCTTGTTTACCATCACATTATTTTGTTCAAATTTTGGTTTTTTTTTTTTACTGAAGATCGTAAGCTGCAAGAGGTGTTCTCCACCCCTCAGAACAACCAGTTTCTTTGCTTGTGGTGCAGCAGTGTTGTGATCTTCGTCAGGAATGTTTCGACCGACAAGGACTTTTTGGTGAGAAAACTCGTATTCACAAAAACTAAACTCGCGAGATTTCCTCCAAATCGAAAAATGGTTATTGTGACTAACTACTACCACTCAGGAGTGGACCAATTTCATGGAGCTGCTCAAGCCCAACATTTGCTTAAGCGCGGAAAAACCTTGCTTAAAACATAAAGGTTACCAGCTCAAACAAAAGATAGCGAAATACCATTCCGAAATAATATACATCACATGGAGTTTTGGCTGGTAACCTGATTTATCAAGCAAATTTTTTTCACGCTTAAGCAGATTAAAATTGGCCCGTTTCAGTTTACTGGTCCGGCATATACGCGTGTGACGGTACTGTTTTCATGACGTTGTTCTCAAAAAGTTATTTCAGGGTGCACGATCATCTGCATGAAGACAAAACATTTGACGAGACAACAGACTTCCTAGTTGTACATTACCAGCGAGTTTCGCAGATTACCGGACTGCGTTTCATTCGTCGTTTTTCTCAAAGCCCACGTTTAAGTTACAAAATCTGTGTCTCGACCTCACCATTTGACATTGATACGCTCTCGGTATGAGCAAGAGAAAAAAACAACTGTATCTCTGTATTCATTTTTCACACTCTCAACCACCTTTTAGCCGCTTGGCCAAGTTCTTTGGTATATTTTGTGCATTATTTGTTCAATACACATGATGCATGCTTTTGGTAACGATCACAATAGGCCTATAAAAATCGACGTCTCCCCATGTATTGCTTACACAGGACATGTTAGTCAAGAACAACAAGAAGGCTTGCCACTTCTGGAGTCCTGCAGGCTTCGAAAAGTACTGTGAAGACTATGTGAACGAAATACCAAACTTCATTCTAACATTTGCCGACGAATACCTGGTAAGTCCTTTTATAATTGTGTCCTAATTATGGTAAGGTTATAATCATCACTCATCGTTGAAATCCCACAGAGTTCTGACTACAGACAGAGCATACCGTCCAGAACGTTGAGCCTCCCGCGCGGTTCTTTTCGGACCTAGGAGAATACTGCGCGTATGGGGCACCTGTAACTCACTTCACCGTGCAAATCCTTCAATCGTATGAGGCTAGGATGCCTTTTGCTTTGTTCAAAGACACAAACTTCCCTCAATTTGAAAATGGGACCAGAGGCAAAACATTTAAAATGAAGCCAAATAACTCAGAAAGTTGCAATGAAGGGAGATTTCAAGCTATTCACTGAGTTGCTTTAATCCTATTCCTTTTTCATTCGGGCAGAGAAAACTTTCCAGCGAAACTGTCCTCTTTAGTTATACCGAACGAAATGCATGAATTCATCAGCTCAAAAACTGTATAAGAGTGAAAAAAGTGACGGGATCTTTAAGTCAACCTTACACCCGCTCTACCCTCACAGATATCCACTTATACTCCTGGGCCACGAGAATGCAAGTGGGGTTGAGTGGCTTGCCTGATATCCGTATACATGTATATATGGATACCGTATACCATTGATGGAGGGCCCCCTTGACCATTAAACTGGTAGTCATAACACCCTAGCCACGGGGTACGTCCCACATGAATGTTAGGGGAAAGCATTGCAAAATGAAACTTTACAGTTAGGTTATCATACCATTGCAGGATGTCTGTTACTCCGAAATTAAAAGAGCGTTATGAATTCCACACCACAGGATCCGGCGAAGGACTGCGCAACGGTTTGCCGTGGTCAGGAGCCCGATCAGCAGCACCCAACGGCTATAAACAACTTGATGAAAAGCGATTACGAGAAGTTCCGGAAGTAGGAACTACTGCCATCCCACCCGGAGAAATCGACAACTGCGACGTAACAAATGTTCTTGTGGTTGTTAATCAATTTTGTGACGCTGAAATGTGTGAGAAAGAAAATTCTCATATTTTATCACAGACTATAATTATTACAGCTATAGCTTCGCTGCTTTGCATTAATAAAGTGCTATTGTAAGACACTTTGTAGTAAATACCTGTAACAGATCTTAGGGAGGCATTCGACACCAGGGAGACATTTGAGGGTCTGACAAGGCTCTAGGTACCAGAGGGAAACCCATTTTTTTCGTATTTGTCCGATTGTTTGACAGTTTAAAGGTGCTACGAAATTATTCACAAAGTTTGTTTGGTTAGATTTTGTCTTTTTTAAAGTTTAAGGGGGCAAATATTTGTACACAGATCTATGGGAATGTCTCCCTAAAGTGTCCGTTGAAGGTATGTTAATATCGCCGCAAAATTTTGTTAGTATTATTAGTAGCAACTTTGGCAAGCAAATCTTTCTTTCAAGGATCTGTATCCATGCTTCTTACATGTAAACCTATCAGTAATGGCAGAAAACGAGTCCTTATTATTGATAAAACCAAAGTGATTGTAATACCACATCCTACAGTTTGTTCTCTTGAAGGCGCAAAGCCACAATAAAGGCGCCTTTCCCTATGTACGTTTTTGGGAGCGTTGCGTAGGCCTACACGATGCACCTATGCGTTTCACTTGCACGCACACAAAGATCAACTCCATCAACCAAACACTAGTACGCGTTGCGTTCGGCCGTTAAAATCGCCCTGGGAGCGATTTGGACGGATTCACAACCCTTGGCGCAAGTGTTGACGAGCATAATTTTTGTGGAAAGATTTTCCTGTCTTCTGTGTTATGTTACTCGTTTCGTGCAGGCGCTTCTCTTCATCGCTCTCAAAAACGACACTCAAGCTGAAATGGAGGATAACGGAAAGACGGCCCAAGTGGTCACGTGAATGAGACCCCGTAACAAGCTATACAACCGCACTTGTGTCAACACAGCAAAAAAACCTCGTTTAGGTCAGAGGAGAGAAAAACGCATCGCTCAAGCTGACATGGTTAAAGACTTTTGTAGTGCGACTTTTACTCAATGTTCACGGAGTATATCAGCATAGTTCAGATGTGCAGACAGTAGTATGGACGCTGTATGCAAATCTCCAGTGAATTTTTGAAGTATACAATATCGAGTCCGGAATGGTTGAGAGAACATAATAGAACCAGTGTACACTATGGGGTACATGGCATTGTCTGAAAAGTAAATTATGTAACAGTGGCAAATAGATTGCTAAGCATTAATAAAGTACTGCAGAAGAAAACAAGATTCTTTGGGATTGTTTTTAGAATCTACTGCCAGATAAACACGAACTGTAATCTTTTCAACCTTTTCCCAGGGTCTGTAATCAGTAAATCGTCACAGCACCTGGTCGCCATGCAGGGATGGTACATAAAAATTCATTTCATTGCTGCACGAGTTCAAGCAAGCACCGCCAGGCTGCAGTCGTTGAGCGGGCCGAGTTCGCACTAGAATTAAGGGCCCAAAGTCAGTTTTGATGACTAAGTTTTGTTTTATGAGGAATATCCTTGGGCAAACAAGCATCATTGAGCCAAGGGGGTCCTCTTAATGGGCAGACTTGACTTCCACTATTCTCACCATTTCGGGAGACAGACCATGCAGTATTGGTGACGGTTTCTTTCTTCAACAAAGCCTATAAGACGTCCCATACTGGAGGCATACACAACCGAGGGCCAACAAGTTACCCCTGACGAATGCCATGCCATGCACAGTCCAGGCACCATGGTTCAGACGGTGGCGCAGGGGAGGGGGCACGTACGTCCCAGCGGGAGTAGATGCCACTGGGTTGGCCCCTCTCTGTTTATGTACACGATCAAGCCGTAAAGTTTATCGGCTTGTAGGCCAACATACATTAAAGTTACGTTTTGTTATAACGCCTTTGGGTTCAGATCGCTCACGGACAACCTTGAACCTGTATTTGAGATTCAAGAGGTAGGGCCTATAGTCAGGGATACATTTTGAGCCGTGGCAGGTGCATCATCACACGACGAGGGAGAGTCAACAAGTCAAGGAGGCAGACAAGACTATACTAATGCTTAAATCGTATGAAACTAATTGACATATTCAACCGACAGCTGCACATGATCCTGGGATCTCAAGATTGCTACGTAAAGGAACTGGCAGAACAGAGATGCACATTTCTTTGTCAATTTCAATTGTAAACAGTCAAGATTCCCAGAGGCCTAGCTATCGTCCGGTCCGATCCTTCCTCGCGCGCCCGCGCGTGTATAGTATGAGCTTAACTAATAGGATGATTACGAATCCTCCTATTGGTTGAAAGGCCACACAGCTCATTGAATATGCAACGCCAGAAACGACATCCAGCGCGCGAAAATCAGAAACCCCTCAATATTTTTACACATACCGTTTTTGTTGGTGAATTTTTGTCATGCCACGTTCACAACAAGCAAATCAGTATTGGTGAAAGTGAATTACTTGGCTACGGCTAGCCTTCGTCAAAGCGTTCGTCATTCGTCGCAGCGCCCTCGATGGCGTCAGTCATGCATACACCACTGATCTCTACTATACTGATCAGTGGCATACATGCACCAAACAAGATGGCGATCGATTGAGTACTGCGGACCGCCTGGCTCTTTTCAACCGTTGAGGGGGTACTTCTAGTAGAGGCGGATAATGGAGATCAATGGTGACACTGGCGCCCGCTGTTGTCAGTCTATAGGTTATTTATGGGTGCATTCCACCAAATGGTTGTATTTCTGCACGCGAGCTCATTATTATTTTGTGATCCCACAGGATTTTTACAGTTAGAAAGGCTATAATCAGGAGGCATCATAGAAATATTTCTATCAATCCCGAATTTAGGACTGATAATTTCCAGTTCGGGGTATTTTTTCACTAAAAGCCCCAAATTGCGGACCTATTTTGGAAAGAGGCGGGCGGCTACATTCAGAAATGAGTGCTCAGTTTTACTGCTATTTTGGGGGTTTCTTCGTTCAAAGGCGAATAAAAAAATATTTTCGTGGCTAATCCCAATGAAATTGAAACGAAAAGTGATCTGGCCATAATCTTGAATCTCCAGTGAAAAAACAGAGGCCAACCTCTTCGCGAGAGTCAACAGGCGGCATTTTTTCGGTCCGATTTTGCACTGTTTTCTATGGGCGCGTATTTGGTGTAGTGCAACCCTATGGGCCATGAGCATATAGTACGTGTGCAGTGCAGACAACTCTTTAAGGTTAGTAACAACTTACGTGTGCAGGGGATAGAGCCTGAGGGTGAAGGGTCACACCGCGAGCTTCCGGAACCCTCGCACTGTCCATCTATCCGCCCAAAGTTGAAGTGCATCCCAATCGGCGAAAGAAAGACAGGTGGTTACAAGCGGGTTCTTCCACGCGTTCTGCGTGTACGCAAAGACCATACAAGCCGGAATAAATTCTTAGCTACGCGTACTCAGCGTGCTCCGCGTCAAACCCGCATATACTTGCGCGCCTGCGCCTCACGGCCCGCCTAGGCCGTTTTCCAATACTCAACCTGTAGAGAGGAGACAGTGAGAAGCAGTTACAGTTTTAGAGGTGGGAGGAAAACCCCAAAGGAACATGCTGGGTAAAACCCACGGACTCAGGTAGGGACAGTAAGCCCAATCCACGTGTGGACAGAGCGGGGATTCGAACCCGGGCCGCAGAGGTGGAAGGCGAGGAAAGAACCACTACACCAACCTGACTCCGCTTAATATTTGATGTTTTATGGCACTATCAGACTAATTAGTGCGCTTGCAGCTTCAAAGTCATAAAAAAGTTGAAGCCTGAGACAGAGCCGAGTTGAGTATTGGAACACGGCCCTATACGGTGAGTACCAAAAAAATAACCTCTTTTGTTCTGCCTCGAGCGAATTTTGGATAACGTTTAAATAAACAAAAGTTTACTGACCAAAACACAAAACACATGCGCAATAACATATAAACTCGCTCTGATCATTCTTTTAATGACATATCATTTTCGTTGCACATTTCAATGAAATTCTAAGCACAGACTAAGAGTGCATAAAGTGTACATTCTTTTTTGTCAAGTTGGGACACAGAAAACTTCAACAAGATCCTCTTGAAACGAAAAACAGCTTCGAGAAAGACGGTTTGACAAGACGTCGTGACGTTGAGCGTCGCGTTCGCATCTGACTGTACTATAGTTCAGTTTCACTCACAACGGAAAGATAGTTTATTGACAAATTGTACACATTTGGAAAGACAAATGATGAAGTGTCACTAAACTTCGTGTCGAATGCAAAAGAGTGCTTTGAGCAGTAGTCGGAAAGTTGAATTTGTTGGAACACATGAAGGCCTAGTACACATGGCGTATCTATCAGACAGAGGCAGGGAGGTGACGCCTCCACACGCGAGTGTTTTTTTTTTGGGGGTACCTTTTTTGTTAGGCTATCTATATAAGGTAACCTCATTCAAGGTTGATTGGTTACACAGATAGCCAATCGTCACGTGAGCAGTGTAAGCCCTGTTTTGTCGTCAGTCTTGTTAAAGCTCCCCGGGTGTCGATGGGATTATTAAACACTAAGGACAGCAAAGCAGAGTTCAAACTCATGATGCAGAATCCACCGTTACCCGCCTGGGATCTTCTCTCGAAAGAGCCCATTATTCTTTTTATTAACTGTGTAAGAGAGTGCGTCAGACTTATTGCCATCCTCAATTTCATGTTTGTACAAAAGGCTTGTTTTGATTCCGAACTTTTTATCCAGAGATGCCCGAATAATCCCTTTTTGAGTCAATGATATATTTCAGCTAAAGATAAACAAACGGGTATTAAATCCAACACCTGTCCACATACTTTAAACCGATCGGGGCAGGTTCGTTATATTGTAATTCACCTGAAGATAACAATTTGAATTGCCCGTAATAAAGCCACTCTTGCCATACCTCGTGACTCGGGGTAATAACTCCGTGTACCAGATTTTATTCACATTTATTTGGCAAATCGCTTATAAAAAGTTGCATTTATTTTTAACTGCGCGGTGGTCAGTGCAGACTTTTACGTACATATACCTGTTCTCAGTTTCCGAGTGACTGTTCGCAACCGTAACGAATTCCCCCGGTCTAGTGATCCTCTGTGCTGTGGTCATAAGTGCAGCTGGTCATTTAGGTTTAGTCGTTTTGGTTTTGTTTTGCTTAAGGTCCCTCTCTGTCTGCCATCGATCAGATACGGTAAACTGAACGTGTACCACTCCCCTATAGCTCCCGGCTCAACGATGTGTTTGGAAGTGCGGAAGCGAATTAAACACCATGCCAAAAAAATGTGCTGCGGAGCGAGTTGAAAATGTGTTAAAGTTTCGTGAATTTGCAGCGCAAATGCATGTGGGCCTATGATCTGACATCACGAATTTTCGCTCGTGTTGGCTGTTGCGCCAAATATATGAATATGTCTTTACAAGTAATTCTAGCACCATATACGATACGTAAATGCGTAAAAAAAACGTAAAAAATTCTCTCTGTGCCTTTCAAATCAAACACGCAATAGTAATGACACTGATAAGGATGAAGTAACTGGTCACATGTTTATTATAATACTGCAATATTAACCACCCAGAAATAATAATCTAAAAAACAGTTATTAACTATTTCACTTATTCCTTCTATTATATTTCACTTATAACTTCTGTAATCACACGATTAAGTTGTTTCTTAGGCCCCGGGCACCAGTTTTCCTCAGGTCGCATCCTGCCCTGAAAACCAGCAACAATTTCAAGTTCTCGGATCCAGCTTGTTCTTGATGAATAAGCATAATGGAAAAGAAACAATAACATGAAACTAAACCCTTTTAAACATTTAGCGAGCAGCCAATTCCACACGAACGCCTTTCTTTGACGAATGTGGATCTATGTGCCCGTCAGTGAAGTCAAAATCTTAGAAACTGCGGTGCAGCGTAAGTTGAAATTTGTCACCCAAATAATCAAAAGGTGCAATAGAAAGGTGTACATGACTTGTACAATTATGCTTCGTAGCCTGAAACGTTTCAACGTACCACTGATCGATTTGGTCACTGTGTATTCTGGCTACATAGGACCCGTGCTCGACTATGGTTCCTTCCCGTTTTTAATGGCTCACAAACAAAAACGCACGTTAGAGAATTAGAAAAATAATCAACAGAGGAGCTTGTAAGACCATACTGGTCAGTGACTACAACCCACACACCGTCAGCAGCCCTCCACACTTGCAACCTGCACACCCTAGAAAGGAGAAAACAAACTGTGCCTTTAATTTTGTTCACAGTCTTGAAAATAAAAACCCA